TATTTGAAGGTAGGTAAATGACGATTTACCAATTCCATCACGAAAACGAAATTTTTAACGAATTAGGTTTTAGATGAAATTCCTAGATTTTTTGAGATTCATTGAACTTTTCAATGGTATGTTTAATCTCGATTATGCCCTTCAAGTTTTTGACTGGGATACCGAGGATCACAAACAAGGTGTGAATAACCATGCAAATTAGCTTGGTACTCTCGATGTCATTTATCATCTAATCAATGTGCCGGTTAACCACACATGCTCCATTGATCAACGATAAGTTACGAGCTACCCATTTCCATCCTTCATTAGTCCCATATTAGTGTGTCGGTTAACCACACACGCTCCACTAACGACCAATAAGGTGCAATGTGTAATTTCATGGGTTAGCATCAAAATCACATTTTTCCTAAAGCAACTAAGATTGGGAATTTATAAAAGCATTTAGTTACTTTGTAATTAATTATACTTTTAATGATGATTTAGAGTCCTATCCTACCCGTTCGGCTAACGACCATCCACTAGTCAATAGTGCGGTGGGTAAGAGTGCATACCCAATGGCGGTCATTTTACAGGCCGCTTCCTTAAACACCCCTTATAGACTAGCTTCGTGAATGAGGCCTACTAACAGCAAGACTGACTTTCCTTATACATATATAATATATTAGACTTTTAATTTTCTATAGTATAAGGGTGTATTTTAACTTTTAAAATACCAAGTGGTTTAATCCTTTAATAAATTAAAATTTTAATTTAGTTAAACTTAAACCATATATGGATTTATTAATTCTCTATTAATTAAACACTTAATTAATTTAATAAAATCCATGAGGGTGTATTATTTTTTTAAACAGTTCAAAAAATACTAGGGTTTAACCATTTAAATTTCCAAAAATTAAAACTTTTAATTTCAAATTTAAACTATGAAACCATAAGGGTGTATTTTAAAACATTTCAAAAACACTAGATTAAATTTCAAATTAAAATAATCTTATTATTATCCATATTTAACCAAATCTTTTAGTTTTGATAAGGATAACTGATTAGAAAATCAAAAAATCTGGAAACTGACGAGTCAACTCGTCGAGTTGGCAAGTGAACTCGTCGAGTTCAAGCAACTCGTCGAGTTCATATTGAACTCGTCGAGTTTAAGCTCCAGACAGCAAATTTCGACTTTCTTTTTCTTTGGACAATTCACTATTGCATCAATCCAATTGAAAAACATCCTAGGCTCTGATACCACTGTTGGGTTATGAGCATATCCACATTCCTATATGATCATGCAACCCTAATTGCTTTGGATCTAAGCTTTTCTCTATTGAACATGCAAATTGAATATCAAAGAAATAACACTAGATCTAGCATACAAGATTCAAAATTCATACGAAATTAGGGTTAGAATATTACCTTACTTGTTATATTGTAACAACAAGACAATCCTTGAAGATCCTTGACTTTTGAAAGCTTAGTGCCCCAAGTGTTGCACCTCTAATGGAGTCACAAACACAAATAGAAAAGGATGAGAGGAGAGAGGTGGTGAAGCACTACAATTTTCGGCTAGGGTTCTCCAAGAAAGCTTTAGAGCAAAAATCTCATGCTAAGGGGTTCCTTGTATAGTTGAGGCTACTAGGGTTTTCAAGTGGAAACCCTAATTTCCTTGCTTAGGCCTTAAGCAGTCCATGGACCTCCACAATAGAAGCCTTAGAAGAATTCTATAGGGCCTCCTATAGAGTTCGTCCAGTCCTCCCAAATGAGTCCATCAGCCCAACTTTGCAACTATCAATGATTTGCAAAACCAGTCCCCGTTCTTTTAATCAGTTCCTTTAATCCCAAAAATTAAAACTTTTAATTTCAAATTTAAACTATGAAACCTTAAAGGTGTATTTTAAAACATTTCAAAAACACTAGGTTAAATTTCAAATTAAAATAATCTTATTATTATCCATATTTAACCAAATCTTTTAGTTTTGATAAGGATAACTGATTAGAAAATCAAAAAATCTGGAAACTGACGAGTCAACTCGTCGAGTTGGCAAGTGAACTCGTCGTGTTCAAGCAACTCGTCGAGTTCATATTGAACTCGTCGAGTTTAAGCTCCAGACAGCAAATTTCGACTTTCTTTTTCTTTGGACAATTCACTATTGCATCAATCCAATTGAAAAACATCCTAGGCTCTGATACCACTGTTGGGTTATGAGCATATCCACATTCCTATGTGATCATGTAACCCTAATTGCTTTGGATCTAAGCTTTTCTCTATTGAACATGCAAATTGAATATCAAAGCAATAACCCTAGATCTAGCATACAAGATTCAAAATTCATATGAAATTAGGGTTAGAATATTACCTTACTTGTTATATTGTAACAACAAGACAATCCTTGAAGATCCTTGACTTTTGAAAGCTTAGTGCCCCAAGTGTTGCACCTCTAATGGAGTCACAAACACAAATAGAAAAGGATGAGAGGAGAGAGGTGGTGAAGCACTACAATTTTCGGCTAGGGTTCTCCAAGAAAGCGTTAGAGCAAAAATCTCATGCTAAGGGGTTCCTTGTATAGTTGAGGCTACTAGGGTTTTCAAGTGGAAACCCTAATTTCCTTGCTTAGGCCTTAAGCAGTCCATGGACCTCCACAATAGAAGCCTTAGAAGAATTCTATAGGGCCTCCTATAGAGTTCATCCAATCCTCCCAAATGAGTCCATCAGCCCAACTTTGCAACTATCAATGATTTGCAAAACCAGTCCCCGTTCTTTTAATCAGTTCCTTTAATCCCAAAATTAATTTTTATTAAATACTAATTAAATAATATGATTTCCAAATAATATATTAATCTTGTAATATTTAATAAAATCATTTGAGTACCAATTTATTATTTAAAATAATAAATCATACTCTTTCTCCACTTGTCATCATGTCAAGTTGCTATGGTGAAGGCAACCCAAAAGGACCATGCTACAATCAAATCAAGTACATACCAATTATAGTTATGGGCTTAGACACCTAATCCAACACTTTTATCTCTCATCATTCATCTACCCATCTTTGCCCAATAGATTTATAGGTATAAAAATACGTATACAGTTTAAATCACATAAAACATGTATAAATCGTTTATCTAGCATAGATATCAGGAACACAGATAATAAGCACATATAACATGTATTAATATTAAATACTTCATATCTATGTGTATGATGAAAGTAACGATGCACTCACTTGTTAAAGTGATGACTCCAAATTCGGGCAGCGCTTCGCTTCTAACAAATTTCTTTTCCTTCTATGAAACCTAGTATCATTATTACTAGAGTTTAGTCTAATATTTATTGCGACTAGTTATTAGTCTAGACTCATCATTAACTCAAAATCTACTTTCATGATCTATCAAGTAAGGAACAACCAGGTAGGATCATATTGGAGGCAGAGTCTGTTTGACATACGAAGTATACTGTTTGGAAAGCCCACTTTAAACACCTCACTAAATCACACCCTAGAACTTAAACATAAGTTATACTTAAAGTAGAGTAAGCATAACTCACTTACAAGGGAGTTTAGCAAAGAATCGGGATTTGCGCGGGTAGAACTTCTGAGTCGAGAGCTCTTCTTCTCGGAGCCTTCTGGCGCTCCGGGACTTGCTACTAACACCTACGAGGGGCTAGGGAAATACCTTGAGGGTTTGGGGGTGTTTGGGAGAGAATTGGAGTGAATTGGTGTTGAAAAATGAGAAGAAACGAGGTCTTATTTATAGGCTGCAAGTTGCGCGTACGCGGGGCGTACAGAATAGGTACGATGGACGTACTGCATGTTACGCTAGGCGTACGTGGACAGGTGTCACCATCTGGTGGCAAGGCGTGGAGAGGAAGAAACGGTCCAAATCTTGCCACGTGTCAGCTTCGGAGCTTAACCCAAAAATTAATTATCTTCTAAATTTGAACCTTCTTCTAGTATTCGTACCCTATCTGGCATTGAGTTTCTTTGGGGTAGTCCAACTACTTATTCTGACCACCAAAGTAATTCTTGAAAGGCATCTCCGGTGGGCCCTTTTAGTCCTAGTATGCATGATGCATTCCTTGGACCACCACATCATCATGTAGGCTCTACACTACCTGGCATACCTCTTGATAGGTCAGAGAGATCATTCATGAGTCCAGTCATGCATAATGGGAGCCAGATGGGTTCTTTTGGTAAAGGACAGATGATGTTTAGTAATTGTTCTTATCGAGGAAGGGGGATATTGAATGATGGATTAATGGTGGGGAATCGAACTCAGCGACTTGTTTGCAGTGTGAATCAAATAGGGAATGAGACAAGAGTGTTCTTATGTGGTGAACTTTAATTTTCGTCTTGTTTAAAACTAAGTATGCTAAGACTAGTTTTATGATATGAGTATTTTTAATATTTTGGAATGTTCAAAATTTTTGATGGTTTTGTTACAATAGAGTTAAATTTTGCTTTCAGATTCTGTTTGAATGGTCAAATTTGATTAAATTCTAAACAATAAATGTTTGTTACATTGATGTTGTTGAATGCTTCTTTCGTTTTAAACCAAAATTACAGCCTAATTTCATTTTTTGACCCTACCATCTTTGAGACAGGGGCAAAATTGTCCAGCAATGTGAGAAACCATGAGACTTATGTGTAAATAAAACAACACTGATGTAGTTTGATCCATGAGGACTGTGAAACCAATCAAGTGCTTCCCAATCTGAAATCACAATACCCCTGTGCATATTTTCTTTCATTACATTAAAGTAAATCACAATACATAGATTAAGAATAAGAAACTACTGTAAGAATATATATGGTTTAAATGTAGAATTATGATGGTATACAGTCAATGTTGTATTTCCATGTTAGAATAGACAACTATCATAATAAAAACCAATATTTAGTCTGGAAATCAGCATACGGTCACTTTATTTATTGTATTTCCATGGTTAGAAAAAGAAAAAATATATATATCTAAAAATCAGCCTATATATATTGTATAATCATATTCATATATTCCATGAAAAAGTAAGGCAATATCATTCAAGTATTCAAACTATTTTTTTTTCGAAGTTGGTTGGTCAAACCCATTACAAATGAGTTTGATATATTGGGAGATCGAACTGAAACTAACGCCTCAGACTTTGGGTGTCTTCACCATAGCTTTCATAGTATCTTCCCCAGCTAGGATCTCTACGTACCTACAATCAACATCAATTCAACAAATTAGCAGAAAGATTAAGAGGCTAAGTTACTTTGAGAGATTGGTAGGATTAGAGGAATTGGCATTCAAATGGTTGTGAACGAAGATCATTGATGTATACTGGATAATGAGAGGTAAAAGAGAATGTTTAACACCAACCTGGTGGCTCTAAGGCCGATATTGTGAGGGAAAATAGTTGTGCCATAAACTTTGTTATTGCCATGAACAACATCACATCCATAGAAGACAAGGGTATAAATTAACTTTCTAATATAGAGGGAAAAATACAATTTGATTCATATAAAAAAATATAGTGTTATGATATGAGATGACATTTTGTCGAACACCTGGTGGGATTCTCTTAATATAGTTGCGAAGGAAAAAAGTACTGCCTGTAGTAATGCTTAGTCCACATTATCTGTAGTAACGTTCATTCAAAACAACGAAATCAAAACCATGTGAGATTCACAAATCACAACTTAAAATAAAAAATTGAATTCACACACTCAATCAGAATAATAAACCAATTTCAACTCCAAGTTAATAAATCGAGCGATAAACATTAAAGATCTAGTTTTCTGCATCAGAGCTTCAGATTAAATAAAAAAATAGAAGAAGAAATCGATTAACTTGAATAAGAAATAGAGCAAGGATAACTAACCATTGGGTGTCATGAGAAATGGAAGTCGTTTGATTTCTTGCTGAGAAATAGAAGTCGTTCTCTCGTTTGGTCCTGCTGGCTTTGTTGACTGACGCTAGGTTATTGTCGGCATGTGCATCAAATCTCATAAAATAAAACTCCAACCAAAGAACTGCATGAAATCAATTTGTTTTGGATCAGTACTATCACGACTTATGAAGTTTTGGGAGGTCAAAAAGGAGAATGACAAAATCTAATTTTGAGAGAGGGACGGGAGACTACGCATGACGATCAGAGAGGCAAAGGAGAAAAGCTTGTGAAGTTATTTTTTGTTAAACGACGTAGTTTAGTATTTGGGGTACCTAATGTTATATATATATATATATATATATATATATATATATATATATATATATATAGGAGTGAGATCGTTTAAGAACTCATAGTTACCCGAGAACTAAAAGTTGAGCGTTAGATTAAAATTAATTCATTAAGGGCATGATCGTCATCTTACCAATCTCATTTAATGTTTAATTTTTTGTGTTATTGGAAATATTAATAGAAATGTCTAAAAATTTACATAAAAAATCAAATTTTCGGATTTTTTTTAAAAATAGTATTTTTTTTGATTTTTTTTTTTGTAAAAAGTGCATACTTTTGTATTTTTTATAGAAAACATAAATTTTTGAAAAAAAATTGAAAAAAATATATATTTTTTTTAAAAATATATATATATATTTTTTAAAAAATATATATATATTTTTTTTTTAAAAAAAATATACAATTTTTTTAAAAGCATTTAAAAATCAATAAAATTTAAAAAAAAATCTGGAATATTTAAAAAATACTATAATTTTTACAAATGCATATATGCATATTTCATATATTATAATATTTGTAAGGAGATCATAAGAAAACTCATTTTATTTATTAATCTATAAACACAATAGAATAAGTATTTTATTTGATACAAAATAAAATATAAAAAACAAAAAAATTATATAAAATTTCAAAGCGTTTTCATGTCTTCATGTCAATATTTCCATATTTTCTTCAATTTATCATTTTTCACATCTTCAATATTCACCACAATTTCTTCCAAATCTACATGAAACTTTAAAAAAAATTGATTGATGCAAAAACAGTCACAAAAATACATATGTGATTTACATGTGATTAACATATGAATCACATGTGATTCACATATGAATCACATACATATGACATCATATGTGAATTACATTTGATTTTCATATGAAGCATATGTGATTCATAAGTGAATCACATGTGATTCATATGTTAATCACATGTGATTCATATGTAAATCACATGTAATTAATTTTGTGATTCACATGTGATTCATATGTGAATCACATGTGATTCACATATTAATCATATTTGATTCACATGTAAATCACATGTGATTCACATGTAAATCATATGTGATTCACGTATGAATCACATGTGAATCATATGTGATACTGATTCATATGTGAATCATATTTGATTTACATGTGAATCATATGTGATTCGCATGTGAATCACTACATACCTAATATTATAGTAAGTAAGAAAACCAAGTTGTATAAAGGGGACAAAAATATGAAAATTAAACATACTTGAGATCCAACGTTGTATGTTGAAGGTGATAGTAGAACACAACAAGATCCCCATAACTTTTCATGGTATCAGGATGATCCAATCCCAATTCTCTCTCATTGATGTCCAAAGCTTTATGTTGGTAGATTTTGACCTGCAATTCAATCTAGTGAATCTGAGAGGCTGAAAGATAGACAAAACAACAAAATAGTATATCTACATTCTTTATTAATAAACAATAATAAATCAAGACATGGTTGAAATCTCCAATGTGAATCAAAAGATTAGCAACAATCTGGTCTTCTTGAAGGGACACCACACTGAAATTACTCACAAATGCTACAATCTTGTTTTCATCAATTTTACATCTTCCATCATCACTCCACAAACAATACACATATCAATAAAGAAATTGAATGAATACAAGTATAAAAAGATTGTTATGAAGCCATCAATGAAGTCTTACATTAGCCTTATGTTTTAGAAGAAGTTTTAAAGCATCTTGTTGTCCATGACCAGCATCCCAAACAATAGGTATGCCAGCATCACTTTATGAATCAATTTCAACACCAATGGACAACAAATCTTCCATCAACTCATTATTTCCTACAAAAATCAACTTACATATATTCAAACCAAAACTTCCACAATAAAGTAAATAAGATAGTAATAACTAAAAAACAACTCACCTATTCCAGCAACATGATGTAGAGCTGTAGCTCCTAATTCACTTGATAGTGCAGGATTACCACCATGTTCAATCGGGTATTTGGCAGTGGAGGTATGCCCTTGTCTTTCCGCATGAATAAGAGGGGTCTCACTTGAAACAATGCAACAAGGCAGCAAGTAGGGAAATCAACACCAATAACAAGTCAGATATGTTGTGTTGTAAACCGTGCTTAAGTAACAGTCTAACATAAGAAATTACCATCCTGGTCTTTTGTATTGACATCAAGCTTTAATTAAAAAACATAAAAACAGAAAACAAACAACATTCAACAAAACGTATCATCTTTTCACGAGTCTGTCGTCCACCTTTTGGAAAGTGGCAAAAGAATCATCATATTCTTCTTAAACTGTTACAAATCAAGCTTTAGAAACTATTATTATCAATAAAATAACAAAAATCGACATAAAGGCACAATCGAATCAAACCTCATGGCCGCAATCAATAAATTGTTGTTCACTAAGGCTTTTAAGCTTCCCCGTAGCAAGGAAATTAGCACATTTAAGTGATCCAGTTGTACTAAACAACCACTATGATCCACATGAACCCTAATTTAGCATTCATCATTTGAAAAATCAAAATTAGAAATAAAGTATCGAGATACAGATAGTTTAAATTAGAGTACCTGATTCTTCACATCGGTGACTGCACCATGGTCTTGTTGGGTTTTGAGCATTCTAACACTCCTAAGTGTACATGCAACCCTAAATACCTTGGATCTATGTTTTCTCTATTATACATGCAAATATGATTATCCAAGGTATTATCCTAACTAGCATATCAAAGCATTGATACTAGGATACTAAAATAGATAGAATACATACCTTGTTGTTGTTGCTTGACTCCATGAAGCTTGAGAGCCTAGTGCCCCAAGTGTGACACCTCAAATGGTTCACACAACATCATGAACTCTTGGAATAACCATGAGAAGAAGACATACATGTTCAAATTGGCTAGCCCTCAAAATATGTATCACTAGTGCCCATTTCTTGAACTAAAGGGGTTCTTATATAGTGTGGCTATTAGGGTTACACCATGTAACTCATGACTTTACCCATTCCTTATGCTCCATGGGTTTTAACCTCCATGGAGTATCCATGGATCACCACATGGGTTAAACCCAACATAAGGAATCTTGGATCATAAGCCCACATATATAAGAATGAATGATTTACACAATCAATCCCCATATATTTAATTAGTCTCTTTTTGATCACTAAATTAAGTCCAAATTAATTCTGATCAATACAATTAAATAACATGATTTCATATTAATATATTAGAACTTATAATATATTAATATGTCACAAAATGTCTTTTCCTCATAAACGGTCTATCCAAATGTTCCGATGCCATGCAACCCAAATGGACCATGCCGAGTCGGGTCAAGTACATAGCAATTATAGTTATGGACTTAGACACTAATCCAACAGTCTCCCACTTTGATAAGTCTAAAACTATTATTGCGTATGACTTTAGGAACCAACTGGCAATCGTAGCTCTCAAAAGCCGCTGTCGAACTCTGACCTTGTAGATAAACTCTGACCTTTGTCAATGACTTGTCCATTAGATAAGGGATCATATATTCCTCCATTCTAGATATCATATGGACTGAGACATGGATTATAATCATTCTCTCTGTCCATTTGTTGTTTCCCGATTTCCGATTTATGACGATTGACTAATTGAACAAATCAAATCAGTTCAGGCCCGGCCGAGCACTTACATTTGTCATCACCAAATCATCGAGGGGCCCACAGATATCGCTTTTATCCCGAAGGTAAAAGGAATGGATAAACTTCGACTCATATGGCTTGTTCTACTACTTGTTGAATCATACACAAAGGCACGTTTTATAACACCGAGTTACCGAATGCGTTTTTCGTGCAATCAATGTACAACCAATCATAGTAACAACTCATATCTCTAGGTTTGAAGAATATAAGATATTATCGTCTCATGATCACTCGTGATAAAATCCATGAAGTGATTCTAATGAGCGCGGGTTGAATCCAATACTCAGAACTTATGAGCACTCATGAGTGTTGTAGCCCCTTGTCCAACATCTTAGACCTCTACAAGCCAACCCATGACAGTCTTGATTCATATCTACTTCCACATATGACCGACTGTGGATAGTTTGAATAACTTAGTCAATCAGGAAGAACGACCTAGTTATTCTGGAAGTCAAAACATGCAAAATGAAACACAATAATAATAGAATCTAATATGGTATGAATGTTGGATTAGTGTCTAAGTCCATAACTATTTTGGTATTTACTTGACCCGATTGTGAGCATGGTCCTTTTGGGTTGCCTTCACACTGGTGACTAGACAGGATGACAGTTGAGGAGAGAGGTTGATTAGGGCATAAATATGATTTATTTATTATATTATATGATTAATATAATAATTTGGAATCATATTATTAATTAGTATTTAATCAGAAATTAATTAGGAATTAATTTCGGGAATAAAGGAATTAATTAAAAGTACAATTATTTGATAGTTGAGACTTGGGCTATTAGATCACTTTTATTAAGGCTTGAACGAATCCTAGAAGGATCTAGGAGTTTTCGTCCAAGGGCTTAAGGAAAGGAGTCCATGGACTTGCTTAGGCCCTAAGCTAAGGGATTAGGGTTTCCACCTTGAAACCCTAGCTAGCCTCAAGTATAAATAGCACCCTAAGGCACTAGAATTCGTCCAAGCCTGGGAAACCCTAAAAGGGACGAATTTTAGGGCAGATATCCTTCTCTCCTCTCTCCCATATTCATCCTTTCACCTAGTGTGTTTGTGAGCCATTAGAGGTACTACACTTGTGGTACTTGCTTTCAAGAGCTAAGGAAATTCAAGGAACTAGTTGTTATTACTACATAACAACAAAAGGTATGTATTCTATCTCCTATGTCAATTTAAAATAGTAGATGCATGCTAGGGTCTTTTGTGTTCATAAAGTTGTATAACTAATAGTGAAAACATAGATCCAACTCTAGGGTTGCATGCACACA